CTATGGGAATTATTTTCTTTACATAGTTGCACACACAAACATATATATATATTTAAAATATATTTTTTTCTTTTGTCACCTACTCTTAACTTTTTGTTTGTTTTTTAATTAAATATTAATTGATTAGACTTTATCTTCCTTAATCATGTGAACTGAAAACAGGGGTATGGTGGTTATGGAAAGAAATCTTTAGGGAAATTAGATTACATGTAAAAGTATGCATGTTCTCCTCTTTTCTATAAAAGTTTTCAAATGGTTCCTGGTTGGTTTGATTTTGTTTTTATTACTGTTATTCTTGTCATTGGGTTTGAATTTGGTTGTATGCCTCTCCTTCCAGTTCTCCTTTCATTAATAGGAAAACAGGCAAAAACCTTGTGTGTGTGAGTGTTTTCCCCTCAGACTGAACACCTTTCATCTCATGGCTGCTTTTCACTAGAGTTGCACAGATCTTCATGGTGAACAATTTCAAGAAATTGTAGTGAAAGGTAGATATGGTTTCAGAAATCAGTTTCTCTGGTCTTTTATATTAATAATATTGTTTAGCTTCCCATTGCTTTTTTTGGTGTTGTTTATTAAATATGTGTTTTTGACAACCTCCACCTTACAGTTTCTTAAACAATGAGTACTGGTTTGTAAAGAATTATCAACATTATCCATTCCATTTATGAGAAAGAGGAGAACAGCTAATAAACTTTATTGTGAAATCCATATGTTAAATGTGTCTTGAATTTTGAAAGAAAAATATTATTTTGCAAGCTAACATTTTCTTAGAACAGTTTTGGGCATCATATAATTTATAAACAATTCAAGAGCTGTTAGGCAAGATAATCAAAATTTCTTCTGTAGGTTTGGTGTTAAGTATGTTAACACAATACTGTAGCTGTTATACTAAATACAGTAGATTGGTACCAAACCAAATATACTAAAAAAAGTATTGTAAAATCCTTCAAGAGCTCCCAAAATCCCCATACAACAAGATCCCAGCATAAGACTTTTTGAAGTATTTACTGGTCAAATGTTGTAAAATATCGAGAGGTTATAAATTATGCCACTTATGTATTAAAATACGTATATTCAGCCCCTACTATGTAAGTTGATTTTTTTGTAAGAAAATACAGTTGACCCTGTAAAAACATGGGTTTCGACTGCACAGGTTTACTTATATGTGGGGTTTTTTTGGTATTTGTGTTTTTTTCCCCAATAAATATATAGTCGGCCCTCTGTATCCCCAGGTTTCCCATTTACGGATTCAGCCAACCATGGATTGGGAATCCAGGGATGCGGAGGGCTGACTGTACATTGTTTTACGCCATTTTATATAAGGGACTTGTGCATCCATGGATTTTGGTATCTGTGGGTGGCCCTCCAATACCGAGCGACAAATGTAGTTACGTTTGGGGGGAGTCAAAAGTTATATGCAGATTTCCGACTGCACAGGGATTGGCCCCTCTTAACTAGCCCTCATGTTCTTCAAGGGTCAACTGTACTAACTTTTGTGCACCGTTCTAGATTGTATAGAATTATTAATAAAAGTACTAATTGCTTAGTACAACTCTGCAACAGCCACTTTAGTATATTCTTATTTAATTAATATAAAGAAGATAAGAGTTAGTAACCCCACTATAAGGCTTAAGTGAAATCACTTTCCGAAGATGACTTAGCTAGTAAGGAACAGGGTTTGATGTTTGTTTCCAAGTCTTTCTGCCCCTAGTTCTTCCTAATATACTATGCTGCCTTCTTTTCAGCCCCTACTATGTAAGGCACTATGACTTCAGTTATGTTATTTTGGTGTCCCTTTACAGATAAAGACTTAGATCAGTGGTTCTCAACCTTCCTAATGCCGCGACCCTTTAATACAGTTCCTCATGTTGTGGTGACCGCCAACCATAAAATTATTTTCGTTGCTACTTCATAACTGTAATTTTGCTACTGTTATGAATCGTAATGTAAATATCTGATATGCAGGATGTATTTTCATTGTTACAAATTGAACATAATTGAAGCATAGTGATTAGTCACAAAAACAATATGTAATTATATATGTGTTTTCCGATGGTCTTAGGCGACCCCTGTGAAAAAAGGTCGTTCGACCCCCAAAGGGGTCGCGACCCACAGGTTGAGAACCACTGACTTAGATGAAGGCACTTGCCCAGAATCACACGATAAGTAGGGAACAGACACATAGAACAAATCATTCCCATTACAGCTGAAACAACTGTTTGTGGGAAACAAGCCACACTAACTGTCACAGTGACATACAAAGGAAGAACCTCCTGAGAACCAAAATGGAACAGTATCCACTATTCTAACTCACAGAGGCTAAAACTATTTGAACGACTTATGAGATATTTCTTATTTGTAAATGCTTCTTTATATCCTTAAGTTGAAAAATTTTAAATGCGAATACACATCTTTGTTTGCTTTCCTATTCCATATCTGCCAAGGGCTCTTCAAAAAATAATGAAGCAAACTTGCAGAGCTCGTTCCATTTTAAATAAGGGACTTGGGCATCCATGGGTTGTAGTATCTATGGAGGAACTGCTCTGGTTAACAAATACATGCTAAACCATTATATAGTACTTAAACTCCAAAGATGGCAATTTGGGGACTTCACTTACAAGGAAAATTTGTTTTCTAAAGAAATAAACAGTTCTCTTCCAAGATTCTCTGTCTTGGATACTTTCAGTTTACATGTGGTGAAACAGAAGCCCAGAGGTCCCAATGTCTTAACCAAAGTTACAATGCAAACCAGGAAGAGAGCCAGATTAGAAGCTTTAACTCCTGGACAGTGGTCTTTCTACTCTACCAGTTCTTTTCCTCCCATGCTGTGAGCTGAATTTAATGGGTGATGTGTCCCTCGAGGTTTGAATTACTAATTAAAAGAAAGTAAATGTCAATAAATTTAAGAGATTGTTATTGCTGTGTTTGAATTTGAAAGATATCTAGGAAAAAACAGGAATGTTACTTTTCTGACCCAGTTTAGATTACCTGGTATTTTAGCTGAATGTTGAAGATTCCATTGATCTCCCTGAAGAATTGCATAATACAGCTGTCCTTAGCTTTAGCAGCAGAGTGCTATATAATGTGAAGAATGTGGGCTGTGGAATCAGAGCTTGATCTGAATGCCAGCTGTGCCTCCTACTGATTATATAACTAAGATTGGGCAAGTTGTACCATTCCTCTTTCTTATTACTTATCTGCAACATGGACATATTTTGAGAAGCAGTAAAATTACAAATAAATCTTAGCTAGCACATAGTACACTCTATGAGTTAATTCCCTTTTTCTTTGGCATCAGAAGCCTGGAATTGTTCCAATTCCCCTTGTAGAAATTAACCTGAGCCTTCATTTTGCCATATTTTAAATGGGATTCGAATGACTAACTTGCAGGATTGTTATAAGGGTTAAATAAACTAGTGTGTGCAAAATACCGATCACAGCATCTGATACTTGACTCTCAATACTTCCTGTTCTTCCTCTTGCCCTGTACTATTTATGGTGGGTAGCAGAAGACAGAAGAATATGGTCCACCTTTCCTCATCCCCTGTAGAGAAATCTTAGACTTTTAGTTAAGGAATTATTTACATTTCAGTTCCTATCATCTTGTTTACTTGTATCTTCCTTTAAGGACCCAAACTCTGTCAGAGATGCCTGTGACTTTGACCTACTGCCCTAACTCAACATGGAACTGGAAGACATGATTTCATAAGCTATTCCCACATCCCTGCATAGTGCTAGACCCAACAATCCATAGCAATTCTCCAGAACATTTATTATTGAGAGTCTATAAATGCCTGGAAAAGATTACTTAAATGACCCAGATAAGGTACATTTTTTCCTTCAATTTGACTAGGACCAGAAGAGTCATGATTTACTACTTTCTCACTGACTTTACTGCCAGCTCTTTCTCCTTTCCACCCCCAAATATGGTTACCTGAGAGCTGGCAATACAAATCCTGGTCTGCTAAACCACACTGTGAACAGACGTGGTGGCCAGGTAACCTGGTATTATTTGAGGCTTTAAGAAACAGATACCAAACCTGACCAGGGCGAGTGTCACACTACAATTTTTCTAGCAGTTTGTATTCCCCATAGTAGTAAAAAACACATGGGGAGAATTAGGGGAAGGAGACCAGAGGACAGTAAAGGCTGGAATTCTCCCACTCTTCTCTTGCTTACTTTTTATTGAAGTATACATAAATAAAATGTATTAATATCATAAGTGTACATATACCTCAAGGAACAAACATCACATGGGTGACCATGTAACAACCAACATGAAGCTCAAACAACAGAACATGACCAGCACCCTGGACATGACCCCCGCCCCACTCCCCCATCAGCTTTCTCCAAGTCATTACTCCTACTCCAAAGGAAGCCACTGTCCTAACTTACTGTATTTTTTAATTTATGTACTGTAAAATTCTTTATGGTGTACAATTCTATGAGTTTTGACACATGCATAGAGTCATGTAACCACCCCCACAATCCAGAATACAAAACAGTTCCATTATCCCAACATTTCTCTCATGCTTGCCCCTCTGTAATCAATACCTTCTCCCACCCCCAACTTCTGACAATCACTGATATTTTATCAGTGCCTATAGTTTTGCTTTTCCCAAAATATCATATAAATGGAATATCATATGTAGCATTTTGGATGTAGCTTCTTTCCCTTAGCAAAATGCATCTGAGACTCATCCATGTTGCTCATGCATCAATAGTTTGTTCCTTTTCGTTGCTGGGTAGTATTCCACTTATAAATACACTCCAATTTTTTTTAGCCCCTCACTAAGTGGATGTTTGGTTTGTTTCCAGT